GCTGTACATGCTCATACTTTTCATGTTCATACTTTTCAGTTGGCCAACATTTCTATAAATCCTTGTAATGTATGAATGTATGAATATAATATACAAGTTTCACTTTTTAAATGGAATTACTGAAATCAATCTACTTTTTCATGATATTCTAATTTTATGACCAGCACCTGTATATATATATATATATATACATATATATAAGACTAGACTATAAGACCAAAGACTAGGGTGTGCATTTACACACCCTAGTCTTTGGTAAGAGAATTAGCACAACAAATTGGACTTTTATAGAAAAACAATTCATGTAGTATTATATAGATGACCTTGAAACAGGGTTTCAAATATGTAGAAATTTATGACACATTCCAGGTTAATGGTGTGGCTTCATTTTTGCTGTATTCAACATTGTCTTTCTTTGTGGGCAAATAGATTTATCTTTGAAAGAGACAGTTTTAAGAAGAGACATTTTGACTGATATAGGTTAAGATGAGTTAAGGTCTACATGGGACGGCCATAGAAATAGGGCTGTGAATGTGTGTGTAGGTATCTGATAAAGGGATGTGGTGCCCATCCAGCAGGCAGACAGCTCTATTGTTCAGAACACCGTCTCCAGCCTGTCCATTCAGGATGTTGGATTGGACCTTCTCGAGTAGCATGAAATAAAAAAAGAACAGCCAGCATCACCCACACCCATTATCCCCATCCTACATCAGGAACAATAGCTAACACCCCCCTCATTTCCCAGGAGCCTCGGTGCTCCGTTCCCACAGTACTGTCCCGTTCTGAGGAGCTGGGGGCCATTGTTACGTGAATGACCTGTCCTCCGGTTGTTCCCAGGAGGACACACACACTTTTCACACAACACACTCACTGTAACTCTGAGTGCTACCTTTTACATCTTCACTCTGTGCCTTTTTCAATGCAAACTTCCTCCAGCCTTAAGTAATTGCTTTCTTCAAAAGTGTCTCGCCCAAAATCATTGGAGTGGAGTGGGTCATTTCACTGACAGCAAGCGTTGGAGCAGAGGTGAAAGAGCTTTAGATGTCTGCAGATAGTGCAGTATTTACTACTGTGGTGCCAGTGTAAGTCTGGGCTTCATAATCTCTCCCATTTCACAAGCTGGCAGGGTAATGTAGCAGAACATATCCTGGCACACCGCAAAAGCTGCAGACCACTTTTATTTTATTACCACAGAACCAGTCTGGGACCAACTTTACACCTCAAACAGTGGAATCAGTTTTGTTGCTCATTTGTCTCATTTGCCTGCTTCAGCCTGTGACTAATTCCAATTAGTTTTTATTTCCTGACCTCGTTTAGCTTTAACGATGAAGATCATAAAAATGGTCCTGACTGAAAATGTGAATTCTTACCAGCATATAAAATGTCAGATCGCATATTAACTTTAATTCTAACCAGTTTTTGAAGCCATCAGAAAGAAAGAAAGAATAAAGGGTAAAACTAAACAAAAGATGCTGTTTGTTTGCTTTTTTTTTTATTTTTACTTTTTTTTTTTGTTGAGATGTCGAATGTCAGTATTTAAACCTGAATCATTTAAAAGGCTGCTCTATAGCAGAAATAATAAACAAGAAACAATCCGCAGCAAGTTTGTTTTGTTTTTATATTTGCCAACTAAATGCTTTGTCTCAGCAACATCTTAATGCTTACTCAGCTACAAAAGTCCAAGGAAACTGCTGCCATTATTTGATAAAATGGCAATCTTTCTTTAAAAAAAAAAGTAAACCCTCAGTAAGCACACATTAGTGGACTAGCATAATATAAGCCTGACTTTAATGAAAAATAGTGAATATTTGTCTAGAACAAGGAAAAGCAATATTTTTTGTGTTATTTTTATAGATACAAATCTAAAAATTATGATGTTAATCCTTTGAACCTCCATCTTTAGATGCAAGCAGAGTAACAGCTCTCTTAGACTATGTCTATAAATCCTCACACAGCCACTGAGATGTTTTTGTTAGTAAGATAGCCCGACTCAAACTAATTAGATGGGGGGGATCTTTGTGTAGTAGTTTAGGTCTGAACTTTGATTATGTTATTCTTAAATATTAATATACTTTCATGCAAACCTGTCAATTGTCTTTGCTCCCCTCTGGGAATTAGCTTTGGGGCATTCAATGCAGGGCCAGCAGATTACGAAACAGCTTCTTCCCCACCGCCATCAGACAGCTAAACTGTTGAGAAAACTAAATCATGTCACAGACTCTGCATCACGCTGACAAACCAGACCAAACCAAACCAAAACTACCGCATATTTGCACCATATATATTAATGCTCTGAACTTCCATATCAATGCGTTTTTTTGCACCATGTTTTTTTTTTCTCCCACAGTTTACATTTGACTACTGATGCACTTTAAGGAATGGGAATATTTTATGAACACTGTACAAAATAAATTTTATTTTGTGTACACTGTGTGTATACAAAATCCCAATAAAAGTTGTCTAACTGAGCTGTTTGCTTAGGTTGGTTGTTCTGCTGGAAAGTGAACCAATCTGCCAGACCTGAATATTTTCGTACTTTTTACAGGACTATCATATAGTTAGCTCCACTCCTCTTATCTGCATATGTGCCAGTGTTGAAAAGTCCTCACAGCATGTGATTCCACTTTGTTTCCACTGTGGGGATACAGAATACTCCCTGCTCATCACATTTTGTTAGAGGACAGAAAGTTCAACTCGACCCTGAATTTTATCAGAGCACCTTCTTTCTTAAGTTTGCCAAATCCCCTAAAGGCTAATTACAAACTGTGAATGGGATTTTAAACTGCTTTCCTTTAACTATTGTATTTTTACTAACCTTTCATAAAAGACATATGAGGTGTTCTGCTAAAAGATGCACTGTTAGCAGATTCTGCCATCAGAGCTTTAGGAATTCTGCAGTTTTTCCAAAATTACCAAGGGCCTCTGGACTGTGTCTATAATGAGCACCTGCCTTGTTAAACTTGCAGTTTAGGTGGATGTCTAAGTCTTGGAACGTGCTGCTATTGAACCATACTTTCTTACAATCCAATTTCCCTTTCAACTTTTCCATAACTTTATTTCTCTGCTATCTTCTTTGATCTATTACAGTGTTTGGTTACAGTAAAATTTGATGCTGTAAAACACTTTCATACTGAGAATAACCTACACACAGGTGTTAGGGTTATAAATCAGGTGTCTTCATGGGGTGAATAATTTCTTTGGATTTTTTTTCAGGAGTTTAAAATGTGAAGAACTAATGCAAACCCTACCCTTGTAAACAGTCACTAAAGAAGTAATTATAATTATTTGGTTGTAAAGGTGAAGCTAAGGTCGTTCTGAAACTTTATCTACAGCCTGTGTGGGGATTCTTCTCTTGAATCATGTTTGAAATCCTTTAACATCGCAAAGATGAATGACTATGTGAATTCCCTCCAGGAATAAGTTTCCTTTCCAAGCTAAATGAGAATTGTTCAGTTTCCTTTCTTTGTTTTTTATAGTGCCGAGTCTTATAACCAATGATGATTTTTCAAAAAGGCAAAGCAGTTCCACTCATAAGCACATCCTTTATTTAACATCATTTATTTGACACACAATTAACACATTTGGAGTAGACTAACCATCCACACTTTCTAAAATGAAAGCATTATGTTCAGGTTACGAAGACTCTACTCCTAAAAAGATTAGACATCTTGAGAAAACGGCTGTATTGCTGGCTTATTTTGACACATACCTTTAAAGGCCTTGTGGGACCAAATGATCAACAGAGAACCTTTTAACTTCCTGCAACATAATTACTCCTTAATTATTCACATTTAGAAAAAGTTATCCAGAAAAATATTGCAATTAAAAGCAACTTGAGTGACTTAAAAACAAAGTCACAACAAAACCTGGGTCATATTGATGTAATATGATGTGAATAAGTCAATAAATGTATTTGTACATGCAGACAAAAAAGACACACTGAATTAGATCAATACTGAAAGACCCTAAGGTCTAATAAATAGGTGGTTATTACAGTGGCTTTGCTAAAATCTTGATCTATCTGCATTTTCAAATCATGCGTATTCACTTATACAAGAGATGTTTACCTGATCTAAAGCAGTTGAAAGGGTATGTTTGGTTTCATTTTTGGAAATGATAAATGAGAAAGTGACATTCAGGTGAGTAGAACAATGGGTTCTACCCTTAGAGCACTTTCCTCCTGGTGAAAAACTGCAAAACACAAGTCTGTCACAATGACACGAGTTAGCTCTTCTCAGCTCTGTTCCTGTTGAGAGCTGCTTTAGGTGTGAACTCCAGTTTCTCTTTCAGGCTAAGCACCTGAGTGCTGTCTTTTCCCAACTGTTCCTGCAGCTTTCTTTCCTCCCTTAGTTCCAAGATGCTCTTTTCTTCCTCCCGAGGTTTAGGGGTCCCTCTAATGAACCACTCCAGGTGGTAGCCCACAGCGCCGACCACAAAAGCTACAGGAAAGGTGACGTAAGGCGCATAGGTGCGCATCGCAGTCCAAACTACAGGCCACATCACTGCACACTGCTTTGGATTAGAGGTAATCTGAAAGAGAAAAACATTTTTTTATAGCAAATAATGAACTGTGGAGATGGTTTTTCTGTTAAGAATATTTTAAGACATTTAAGAAAATATCCATTTTAACTTTTACTGCCAGTCATGTCCTTTCTAATAGCCCCCTCTTGTGGTTTGAAGTAGAATTGTATTATTAAACAATATTGGAGTTCTAAGTAAACCCATTTCAGTTTACAATTCCCCCATTGTGGGACAATAAAGGGATTTTCTATTCTATTCTAAACCCAAGAAAACTAAATAAAGTACAGCCTTTGTTCAGTTACAGAGTGGGATTTCATCGGCATAATACAAATTGATTAAATTAAGAATGATAAATTCAAAAGAAAATGTTGAATTAAACATTTTGATCCTGTCAAACTATTTTAATGGATTACATCAGCAAGACCAATTGGTTTCGGTAGTGCTCCTATTAACATTTCCAAACTACAGAAGGAAAAGCAGGGTTTTTCTTAAATGCCCTTACTGATCACTTTCTGACTTGATGTGTTAACTCATTTCAACTTCAATATTTTGATAGGGAGCCCCACCTGTTGCATAAAGATGTTAGCAGCAGCTGAGTGTTGTGTCTCAAACTAAACGTTGCAAGAATGTACTGCATTTCTTTGCAAAAAAGATTTCCAATGATTATTGTCAGTTTATTAATATTGATATGATTTGGTTATTTGTTACCAGCTTGGTTTACATGTAAATAATATAAGCAACTGGTAGGGCTATGATCCTTTTTTTAATATATGCTGCCAGGACAAACATTAAGTTGTACTTTGTTGTTGCCACAACTACGCTTTGCTAACTAAAACTGGGGCTAAATATCCTAGGTAAAAAAAAAGAAGTATCCACTAAAACTAGTTTTTTTCTTATTTTTTAATAGCAATCTTGAAAAAAGACACATAACACCATTTATAAAAAGTGAGAGGTTTGGTCTGTCGTGTCCTTCTTACGTCCTTACAAAGGGTGAAAACAAGAGTAAAGCAGGACAATTCAGATCTAGGCTGGACCACAGTAGCAGCCAGTCAACTTTAAATCTTAAAAAGACAATTAAAATGACTTCGCAGGTCTAATGTAAGCCGGATTAAAAAGCTAACCTTTCTGAATGGTATGGTGTTTATTTTAAGTCCAGTACTTTACGCATCACTTTGTTCAGATAAATTACAGTTAAATATAAATTATTCTAACGCAATTCGCCATGTTGGCTCCAAACACCGTTAAGCAAAAACTGCCCAGAAGGACAGTGCCTCCGACTAGAAACACGCAAAACACAGACACTGGTGTACTTAGTAGAAAAAAGTCCAAACAAAAACAAATTAAATACTATTTAGGCTGACATTAATTCATTTCATAAGACCACACTCACCTCTGCCGTTGACACATTTGCTCTGAATAGACGTCATTTCCGTGTCTGATTACTTCCTTCTGGGTGAAACGTCATTGGCTGACTACCTCCCAAAGTTTTTCTTTTTTTTGTTGCTTCATTTGTTCTACCGCCACCTACTGGTAAATACGATACTGCATTGAGTACCCTGCAAATAATAAAAACTACAAAAGGTTTACAATCATACCTTGAACAGTTTCTTCGACACACACTAGTAATTCAGATGAATAAATAATCTGTAACTTCAAATAAAATATTTGGATAGCAAATGTTTTATTTGAAATATAACTGTGTGAATTTTTCTTTATTTGTCATATAAAGAGAAATGTACTAAAGGAATGTAGATGAAGTCAAATTCCTTGTAAGTGCAAATCTAATTGGTAATAAATCAGATTCTGATTCTGAACAGAGTACCTGTAGGTTCCCTAAATGTATTATATTTGACACACAATTTTAAACGAGGAATTGTGTGTGTGTATATACTGTATATATATAATTGTGTGTATATATATATATAT